GACCCTAGGCCTGGCTGTGCCTCTCCTGAGTCTGTCCAGAATCCCAGTGAAGTGGGATGTCCTGGTCCCTGCTCAGAAAAATGGAGGTAAAGAATTAAAGTTTAAGAGGTCAGCTTTATTATCTGGTGCAACCACCAGATCGCCACTAGTTACATTGCTGAGATTGCTCTAGTTACGTTATTGAGAATCTCCACTCAGTGATGTAACTAGGACAGGGAACAGAGGTCAAGAACTATGGACGCCAAAGTAGATGAGGTGCCAGACGCATCCTGTAGCACTCTGAACCCTCACTCTCAAAGTTTTGGTATTCTACCCCCAATCCTATGTTTTCTAGCACTTGGCACCTACCCTCCTCAACCCACATGCATGTACATGCACATACTTTACAACATTCAGCAGCATGTCTGCCCAGGTCAAAATTGCTAATTACACCTCTGTCTATTTGCATTATTTTTATATGACTTGATTGATATTAATTGATAATGGTATTGATGCCAAGTTTTAAGGTGCATGTATAGAGTCAACCTTGACCATTCAGTTTTAATTCTGAATCTCTTGATTTGAAAACACTAGAGTTGTCTTTAATAAGGCATAAACATGTTTGTTTTTTTCCTCGTGGAATAATAAATAGTGGGGGAGGAGGGTTCATTCTTTACTGTTATTATACTTAATAGATTTCTCTGAAATAACACTTTTTTATCAGTCCCCAGTTGGTTAGTGGCATATAGAAAGGGAGAAGCAACTCAGAATGGTAACACTGGAATTTCCATAGTAATTGTGCATTTCAGTGTGTTCTCATGCAATCATGAGATGCAGAAACCTCCCAAGGAAATATGATAGGGAGAGAGTCAGGTGAAATGGTAGGATATGCCATCCTGTCCTGATGATAAAATAGTAATTTAGGTTTACTATGTTTCCTTAGAACTGATAACTATTGCAAATCCAAACATTTTATACCGTGTTGTCCACTAAAATTTACAGTGTGTATATCACCTACAATGATGCCTCAATTTTTCCCTCAATTCCCTTCTGAAAAATCTGTTTCATTGTGGCTTTTATCTACCACAAACCACCAAAATAGGTATCTTACAATGAGTGTGTAAGTACTGATAATGCAGACACAATAAATATTTCTTGGAAAGTTGGGTGAATTCTTCCCAGGGATCTAGCTTTTTTGCTTTGTAGCTGAAAACCCATATATTATATGTTTGCTTTTGGTTCAAATTCTCTCGAGACACGATCACAGCATCATAAAAGGGCAGCAACTTGAATCCCCTTGCTCAGTCTGGGCATAAGTGCTAAGAGGACTGACTCTTCAAGTTCAACACTGATGTTTCACATAAGAAGGTCAATAAAAGAAAAACAAACCTGTTCACATCAGGAATCTATTGATACTTTCTCTAAGCAGACACAGGTAAGGATAGGCTAAAGAAGCGTGGACATTAATTGTTTGTATCTTTTATTGCTTTGTTTTTGTCTGTTACTATTTTTAAGGCATGCTGTTCTGTGAAAACAGAAACAGTGGGGATGAACTACTGTTTTATTCCCTTTTACATATTGGTTGAATTGATATTAAGGTGATAATTCTTCTGTTTCTCTTTTTTTCCATGTACAGGTAGATACATAGATAGATAGGATGGCCTAATCAGGGCATGCAGAAAAAAAAGAGGAGGAAGTTATGGGGCTGTTTTTTTCCACAAATAAGCTTAAAAACTTATTCAACTCCCTCCTAAATCATTTTATCTTTTCATTCATTTTCAAGGGAGTCGGATCATATAATATAAGAAAGAACTTATCACTTGCTGCAGAGCCAAGGATCTTCAAGGCAGAAAATAATATTCTTTTGTTAAAGAAAAGTTTGATAAAATATTAGAAAAAAATCTTTGTGTGTGTATATATATGTGTGTGTGTGTGTGTGTGTGTGCGCGCGTGTGTGTATATATATATATACATATATATATATATATACATATATATATAAAATGTATCCACCTCAACATTTATTTGGTTGACATTCTCCAGAATTAAAAATGAAAGCTTATAAATAGGATAAATATAAAAAGGGGAGAACAGACATTATTAGTATTTTTATATGCATTTTGTCCAAAGTACTGTGCAGTGTTCTGAAATGCTCAGTATGCATGTGCTGTTTATCTTTTCAGTCTTGCAGATATAAAAGGTGAGTAATTCCCTTTTAGTCAGTTAAGTTAGCACAGTATAAAACTGGTGTATGTGAAGGGGAACAACAGTTCCATATTTCTACTGTTTTTCCCCACAGCATTTTACAGTTACAAATGACCATTCTGGTTTTTTACCATCCAGAATCTGTGGGCTTAGCATCAGAGGACTGGCTGAAAGGCAAGAGTAGAATTTTGAAAGGTGAATTAGTGACCCTTGCGGAATCAGTGTTAGGCATAGGGCTGTGCAAGGCTTCGGACCGTGCTCTGGATCTTGAGAAGCTTCAGACGCTTCGACGTCCAAAGCAGCATGTCTGGATTGAAGCACTGGCTTCGTTAGGCTTTCTGAAGTGGTTCAGAGCTTCCGAACTGCTTTGGAAAAGGCCATGCACCTCTGGCTGCTGATAGGCAAAACTCGTGACATGGGTGACACTGTGTGTGTTAAGACGCAGAGGGGTGAAACCTGTCAAAGAGAGCGGTGCAGGGAGGATCTGGGGCCCTGCACCTCTAGCTGCTGACAGAGAAAACTCTTGACATGGGTGCTTGTGCAACTGACTGTGTCTGTCTTGGGGCAGTTGATTGCCTGTATTGATTCTTTCCTCTCCTTAGTCTGTGGTTTTGTAGGTGTTAATCCATGCTTGTTAACTCATTATATAGTAGCTAGGTACTGTGTATTGTGCTGGTCCCTGAGTGAATCATGATTAATTGGTAACTGGTAACACAGTAGTTTAGCAGCCAGGCCTGCAGTAGTTCCAACCCACCACCCCCATGCCCCACAACAGACACAGTTGCACAGACACCCATGTCATGAGTTTTGCTTGTCCACAGCTTGAGGTGCAGCGTGCCCCAAACCCCTGCACTTATCTCCTTGAAACTCGGCAGGCTTTGTGGCCACCGCCCCTGCAGTTTTCAGCCCTCTGCGACTTAACACACACAGGGTCATCTATGTCACAAGTTTTGCCTGTCAGCAGCTTGAAGTGCAGTTCCCCCCAAACCCCTGCACCTATATTATTGTAACTTGGCAGGCTTCATGCTCTCAGCAGAGGCTATCACACCTGCAAGTTTAATGCAAATCAGACATAAAACAACAAAGTTATAGATATTTCATTGATTCCCCATTATACCCTATGGCTGGATCTCCAAAGCAGCTCTGAAGCTTTGGAGCCACTTCAGCTGGATTGAAGTGGGAAACCAATCCGGAGCTCTGGATCAGATCCCTGGCATCTGAAGTGGCCATATCCAAAGCCAGATTGAACAGCTGCCTACTTGCACAGGCCTATTAGGCATATACAGTGCATTAGCTGATTGCTGAAAGACATCCAGGAAAGCATAAACTGGACAAAAAATCTCCCCTCACAAAGATCATCATTTTAATAATTTTAAGAGAAATGTAAATGTTATGTTTCAAGTATCAAAGATGATAGTGAAGAAGGTGTTGACATAATCAGCTTCTTAGAGTAACAGGTCTCATGTTGAGGTTTGTGGAAACCAAAAATGTATATGCAGATGAGGCACAGGGCAACCTGCTCCACCTTCACCTCATGAAGGAAGGGGCCACACTAATCATATGTGACAGGTTGAGAGAGGGGAAGACAGAGAGATTCTGGGTGAACTGTTTGGAGCCCTGCTTGGCAATGTTTGCTAGACATTTAAGGCTGGTGAAAAAACAGGAATAATTGGAAATGGGAAAGATACAGCTCAGTTGTGGGAGCGATGAGGAAGTCAAAATGCATTCACTGTAGTAGCTCACATTGATCTGAAAAAGAGTTGGTGCTAAGGGAGACCTCATACAATGGGCACTAACAGGTATCCTATTCAGAAGGGCTGCACAGGCCTATCATTATGGTAGGCTCCTATTGGCTGATATGACCAAGCTGGGAGCGGGAAGT